ATATCTATTGAGGAGGTGGAGCTGCAAATCGCAAGAGGGTACAGCAATGACTTTCTTTAGGCTCTTGGAGTACCTCAGGCATTACCAATGAGGCAAGGTATAGCACAATTTAATATTGCTGTCCTGCGTGCCTTTTATTCATCCCAGTGGGCACATGTACTCGCCATGGGGTCAGATGAAGACTTCCATAAGTCCTAACGTGCCTCCCCTTGAGACTCATATCTCCAGTGTTTTTAATTAATTGGAAAAGCAGCAGAGGTTTAAAGGGTCCATATTACGCTATTTTCTGATTTATGTTATAATGTTGTTTTCTCATCACAAACATACCTGGAATTGTGTTTTCTTTCATTCACACATATTTAACACTCACAACCTGCATAAGTGAGTTGAGTTGTGAGTGAGTTGAGATGAGTTCTTCTCTCAAACAGAAAACACTGTTCCACTTTGTAATGCCATATGGTAATACAGGAAGTGCACCACTGTGTTTTAAAGTCCATACACCTTCACTAGAATTATTTGGATCATTTCAGCCAATTTCTACTGAACCAAAATGTAAAATGTAGCTGTAAATTCGAAAACTTCCGCCTCATAAAATCAAAACACACCTCCGGATATGTTTTTGAGAAGGTAACAACATTCTATCTTGGCTTAAAGCTCACAAGAGTATTTTGCGTAATATTAGGATGTTTAAGCTTTGGGTGTCATGTGCTTGTCTACTGCGCAGGTCCCAAGGTCAAAGAGGAGCCTGAATGAATGTGAATGAATGAGCTGTGATGTTGGACCTGCACAAGTATTTACCGCCTCTCATCTGCACGCTGATGACTTCCTCCTTGCGCCGTATGATCCAAACAAACAGCGAGCCAGGTACGCACTATAATTGTATTCATAAATGCCACCTCAGTGCTTGAATGTGCAAAGACTCCAGGAAACACATTATGCAAGACAATCATGGTGATTTAATGCTACGCTGAAAGCAGGAACACGCATCACTATTATTTTGGTAAATTCGGGAGAACAAAGGTCCCCTCTTAATGCAAGCTGAGTGGCTTACACAGAAGCTTGAAAAGGCTCCACTATCTTAAATTACCACCTGAATGTCTCTGTAATAGATAGTTTACTGAGGCCAAGAACAGCTCATAACTCAAGAATTGTCACAGCTAGGTCTGTCGTGGTTCAAGAATTTCCCTTGCGGTAACTTTACGCACTTTAGGCACGTATTCTTGAACTGCGACAGCCCTATGGCATGGTATTTATAAATGATGTCTAGACCTACGATAAATTTAACACGACAGTGAGAGTGACATCGAAAAGAATCATCTTATCTCAAGTTATCAGTTATTAGTGTGCAGCTAGAGGGGGCAAGCATATGGTCTATAATTTAAAAAAGAGTTGATAAAAATATAAAGAAGCTTATAGCCTGGCAAAAGTATGAGGTGACATTTCATTTTTAGACCTTTTAGATGTCCAAGATCACAGATGTTAATATTGATTGTAAAAGGTGTAAAAACTGACTAAAGCAGTAAGTAGGATAAGTTGCATTTAAGATCGATTGAGCGCGCCAACAAAAGCCAATCCTCTCTATAGTTTTGCATTGCGTTGCTGATACTGTGGCCCTCAGGTGCTATCAGGACCACCACATCAATAACCTGCCCAAGTCATTGATCCACAGCCATTTTTCCCTTTAGTGAAAATGTCAAACCGCTGGCCATCACGTGGGGCTGGAAAGGTGCATGTGTGTCCGTGAAAGGCAGAATCTATCAGAGAATAGAGTGAGCTCGTGGCGGCCATTTGAATGAATCGCCTCTGGGTGCAGGGACGGCAAATGTGTCCAGGGTTACTGGCACCATCTGAAAAGAGTCTTCAATAAAATATGAGGCAGGTCCACTGTGGGCTACATTTAAAGTCTGTCGCAGAACGTCGTAAGAAGCACTAAATTAGTCATCAGGAGAGTGATGTGCTCGGCCCTAAATACTATATTCCCTCGTCTTTAGCCTAATTCCAGATTGATCTCATTTACAGATGGCCCTCCCTGTAGTCACACTCAGTGTTATTGGTGCTATAATAACGATTATGATAATGAAAAAGCAGTAATGGTAATGACCGCCGTGCATTGTGATGGAATGAGTCTTATTATCCCGTTTATTGGTTTCCTTGGGTTAATCATACATCATCAAGTAAGGATTATACATTAAGCAGTGTGGTTTATCTATATTTGATTTGAAGCCATGGGACCTTTGAGCAAAAGGTAGATTGTATAGTGCAGTATAATTTGTTTGTGAAGGTCGGGTAAGCAAAGTACTTAATAAATAATATTTGACTAAAAAGAGTCTCTTCTGTGGAGAAATTTAAATTCAGAGTCAAGAGTCCACCAGCTGAAGGCTAAGGTATCGACAAGGTGAAAAACAAGGGGTCTCTCTCTCCATCTTATTTACTGCTGCTGCGAGCTAACCAATTTAGCGGCCCTCCTCTCAGTGAGCTGTAATGGCTTCTTGGCTGTCAGCTCTTTAAATCCTTAAGAGACCACTGTCCAGATCTGAGAGGTCAGGCCAAAACAGACACCGCGCAAATAGAACGTTTGGGAAATAAAGCTCCATGTAATTATTAGAAACAGGTAAAGATTTTGCTGTCTCATCAAATCCCATCTCCTCAGTAGTGAAGCAGCTTTATTTGCATCAATTTAATGAGTGATTAGCATTTGCAAGTCAGCTAAGAGGAAATCTATTTAGAGTTTAGTATGTTTGAGGCACAGCGTTGTGTTGTGTGCGGTGTTTGTGTGAGAATGTAGTGAGATCTTCTGAGTGTCCCACACCCAGCAGAGAGGCATCGCACAGCCTGAGGGCGTCCGCTCTCATCAATCACAATCGCATTGGCATTACATGGCACAAAGTCAAACAGTGTCCCCTCACTCAATGAATTGGCAGAGGAGGCGCTGAGATGAGATTGCAACCAACGAATGCTAATTTATCCGGAGCCTGGAGATGTGGTGATTAAAGACTCAATTTCCCAGAGGTCAGTGCAGCGTGATCACGTCTTGCAACTAACCGATGGAGTATTTGTGACGCATGTTCTTCTGACATGGACATGGACATGGACGGCTAGGGATTAAATATTCTGTTAGACTCAAGAATTCACTCAGTTGCCCATGTTTAAAGCATTCATATTACACCATGTTATAATGGTGTTTCCACATTAAAACATACCCAGAGTTGTGTTTTGTCTTACTCATACATGTTTAACACACAAACCCGGCATATTTAGGCAGTGTTTTTCTCTCAAACACTCTGTTCCTCTTTTGATGTCATGTGGTAGTACAGGAAGTGCGCCACAATAGTTTTAAATGCCATACACCTTCACTAGAACCATTTTAATGATTTTAACCCTGGAATTGCCCATCTCTACTGAACTAAAGTTAAAATGTAGCTGTGAATGAAACAAAACACAATTCCGGGTATGTTTTTGATGAGGTAGCAGCACTATAACATGGTTTTAAGCTCACAAGAATCAATTTTGTGTAATACAGCACTTTAAGCAGCTGAACCTGGTTATCGGAGCTTCTTCATGCTTCAGTTTATGTAAGTGCACAGGCAGGAGGAGGGCCACAGCCGCTCTCATATATAAGCCCTGAAACGCTGCCATCCAACATTATCTTCAAAAGCAGAGAGCTGTACCGTGCATTATCCCCACGTGTGTCCTGGTGCAGCAGGTTTGAATGCTGTCACGCCTTTGTGGCTTTGCGTTTGAGTAACTCTCAACTCTTCTGCGTTTGCTTATTAGCCACTTTTCAACTCAAATGACACAAACAGTTGAAGGTTTTATCTGCTCTGCCTGTTCTTTGCCGAGCTTTGCCTTCAGCGTGTGATCTGTATTCTGTTGAGTTGGATGCTGAGATGAGTGCCTTGTCAGAAAAATGTAATTCATCATTCCTGCAGTTCTTACACTTTTCTCAGTTATTTCATCATGGTGTGGTAGGCTAATGTGTCTGAAAAGCAGCAGTGACTTGGTTTCATGGACTCCCTAGTGTCCATCATTTCAACGATGCTCAAAATGACTTTGTTTGCTTTTCCTTTCAAATTTCATCGAGCAATTATCTTGGTGTTTTCTTGAAAATGGCATCCTGATTGGTCATTGCTGCTGTGCTTTTTATCTCCTAAGATGGTGCTGAGTGAGTGCTTGTCTGTGATCAACTTTATGTGTAAAGTTTGAGGTGTACTTGCAGGACAGTACATATTTTAGATTTTCATAAATTTTGGGTACATTTCACTGACTTGCATTAATTTTATGGAAAAAAGTCTAAATTTAACTGTAGTCTGCCACTTCCTTTTCTAACCCCAACCTGTTTTAGCATGTAGCCTAACTTAAAATCATATGTTAATCTCATAATATTGGATTTACCCACCGATTAAATTCTCAGACATGACATACTAGATGCTAGTGTTGTCACAATACTAAAATGTCAATGCTAAGGAGTAGACTTGATACTCATTACTGATTCTGATACCACAGTAATACTTTAAAAACACTCTTTATTTAGAAAATAGACTGTGGTTTTCAACATTAAATCGTAGTACTTTTATATTTTATATATATCGTAGTATCTTTTATATTGCATTGCAGTCTTGTGTCTGTATAATCCCTCAGTTGTCCAGGTAGGTTCCATAATGGTCCATGGTCATATACTAGACTGTGTGGTCTTATACTTCTTCTGATGTTCTGATACAGCTCAAGAACATTTTAAAGATATTCAAGAAAAGTTCATTTCTGTTTCGAGAATGTGACTTATTCAGTATCTATACTTGCTCAAATATCTAGTTTCAATGCTAGTTTTAGTATCTTTTAGCATCTGATTTTTAATCATTGAGACAACCCTACTAGTTGCACATTTTTCTCTTCATATTATTCTGTAAACATGCATGCTATGGTCAACCATACTTTTTTTAATGTTTATTAATTGTTTTTATCATATAAGACAAAATTAAATCAAAGCAAAAAACAGTGAGGTCTTATACAAATGCACAAAAACTCAACAAAACTATTAACTAACTATACCACTGCTCAACCGCACTCCCTTCGCCACAGCCTGAGCCTCCCCAGAATCCCCTAACACAACATTCTCCACCATCCTTTCAATTCTGTTCACTCTGTAATTCTTCTCGAATTAATTTTCTTCAAAACCTCAATTTTCACAAACGCAGATGAAAAAAACATTTAAAAGCAATGTTACACCTATTAAAATATATTGTTACAGCTTAGCACATTTCAAACCATGTTTGCAGAAAAAAATGCAGTTCGGAGACCTTTGTTTTTCACTCTATAATGATGATTGTGATATTTTGGCAGCGTGTACTACAACTCACCAGATGATTTGATTTGGACATATATAACTTAACTTTGAATGGTCAGCCCTAATATATGTGTTATATAAAGAACAACAAAACACAAAACAAACCAAAAAGCTCCACATAAATACTTTAAGAGTGAATTGGCTGGACACGCTCTAGGCTGGAGCGTTTTATTTATTTTTTAAATAATGTCTTGAGGTTCATCTTGGCTTCCTGCTCTCATCCTTAACTCAATGGCCTCTATTTCCTTCCTTGAGCAGTTAGCTAATTGGTGCACCCGTGGTAACTAGCTTGTAGTAGGCTCCCTTCAGGCCCATGAGGTGGTTGTGCGTCCCCTTTTCGATAACATAGCCTCGGGACATGACAGCGATAATCTCTGAATTCTGAATGGTGGACAGGCGGTGGGCGATCACAATACAGGTGCGGCCCTCTCTGGCTTTATCCAGGGCATCTTGTACAGTCTGTTACAAAAACACACAATTACACACAGTTACACATCTCTGCAGCGCCATCAGTTCCCCCACAGACACACGCGGCACAATTATAGCAATTTGACAATCACGCCTTGATTACTATCATTAGAATGTTCCAGTGGATCAGTGTGCCGCGGAGGCCTCTTCTCTCCTCAGTGAGCTTCAGCATTCGAGGCTCCCATCCCACAGCCCACACTCACTAAAAGACACTAGTGGAGCTGCCTGTGAACTGGGAGCTGATAATAGACATGATGAATGATAATGACGCTAATGATAATAATAATGAACTGCTGCCTGCTTCTGCTCTTAGAGAATATCAAGCAGCTGCACAGATCACAGCTTTAGCCTTAGTGTTACACTGACTTCATTTAAACGCACTGTACCTTCTCACTCTCCGTGTCCAGGGCAGAGGTGGCCTCGTCCAGCAGCAGGATCTTGGGGTCACGAATAATGGCTCTGGCGATGGCAATCCTCTGCTTCTGACCGCGGGACAACTGAGAGCCCTGTGCTCCAACGTTTGTGTCATATTTCTAAGACAGGGGCAAAATACATAATACCTGGTCATTTCATTAGTAACAGTAACAAGTCGTTGTGGTATTATTTTCTGCCATATCTTTCTCTATGGAACTTTTGGTAATCATGAGAAATACTGTAGACTTTATTTGACATGGAAATACTGTGTTTGCTTCATTGTTTGTGTTGCATTTGTTGCATTATGCATTTGTTTTTTGGGGTAACAGTTTTCACCTTGTGTTGACCATTTTGTGAGTAAATACCAGCTCTTTTACAGTTTTCTCCCATGGTGTGTATTGTGTTCCTACAGCTGTCCTGTCTTTATTCGGATGGTAATCTCTGTCTTTCTTCTATTTCTTGCCTTTGTGCTTGACCAAATGCTGTATCCAGTCTGTTTCTTGCACAAAGGCAGAGCCTGAGTCTGTGTGCACAGTTGTACCTCTGGTAGGGACATGACAAAGCTGTGGAGCTGAGCTTTCTTAGCCGCTGAGATGACCTCATTCATGCTGATTTCCCTGGAGTTGTCTCCGTACTTGATGTTTTCTGCAATGCTGCAGTCAAACAGGATAGGCTCCTGGGACACGATGCCGATCTTAGAACGCAGGAAGGGCACGTTGACATGTGTAGAGTTGTGGCCATCAATCAGCTGCAGAAAGTCATTGATTTTACCATTAGTACAAAACAACATTAAATTCCAAAGAAACCTAATGGGCAATCATGCAACAAAACAAGTCTGTAATTTCTTTACCAACAACACAGAGGTGGTACTGCCCTTTTTAAATCAGGCTGCAAATCAGGACAGCATTTCCAAACCACTTCCAACTCAATTAAGGCCATTTGAATCTTGGCACTGATCCTTTACTGGCACAAAAGCAGCGCTCCACTCTGGATGAAGTGCTCTCTTTTTAAAAAATAAAGCACCTCGTCAGCACAAATGTCCAACTGATAAATGAATCAACGTAGGATGAGAATCAGGAATGGCTCAGCCCACGAGTACACTAAATGTCTGCCAATTATCTGTGACACTGACAAACCACTGCTTCCATTTCATAATGTCCAATAACACTTGTATTCCACTACAGCTGCTCTTGACATTTTATCAAAAGTACCTTTTTAAACAGCTATCAAAGACATTCTTAACATAGCTTTATGTAGCAGCGTATTTGAAGAGGCTCTGAATAGTTTTTTTAATTATTCATCTTTTATTAATTTGTATGTTGTTTCTTGTAACTAACTTTAACTTATAGATAAATGGTGATGGTCACATTTTTTATATAGCACTTTCCACCTTTAAGGCACTTAAAACGCTTTACAACAAGGAACCACTCACACCTTCACACACACATTCACACACCAGTGTACACAGACACTGGGGTACTCTAACTGAGGTTATTTAGTGTGTCATATGTCTAATTCATCAGGAGGTTCCTATAAAGTTCCCTTATTAGAATGGATGGGCAAATAAACATGCTGTGGGTGATGATGTTACACCTATCTGATATCATTTACTGTCTATGTCACAGGAGTCAAACATGCGGCCCGGGGGCCAGATCCGGCCCTCCAAGACCTTTAATGTGGCCCTCGGCTGATTTTCTACTAAAATATTTAAATTATATTTTCTATTAAAATATTGTAAATTTTCTGTGGTGTTTATCACAGCAGCATCTCCAGCGTCTCTGTACGTGGCCCCTCCCACCAGAGCAGCACAAATGAAGACTTGTCTCTTTCTAAACGCTCTTAAAGGACGATCGTTTTGACTGTTGACCGTGACACCCTCATCAACAAAATGTCCAAAATGAGAAAAGTGGAGCTGAGTGCAGGATTTTCCAAGAAAAATTTACTTATTCCTATTTATACAAGTTAATGTTAAACAAGTTCATGTTAAAACATTGTGTTGAATTTATTTTTTTCTTAAAGTTTCAGGTTGTTCATAATATTATAATATTTTGTAAAAGAAAGAGTTCATCAATTAAAAAAGATTTCTGTAATAGATTTGTGTTTCTCTGCACAAATATTTGAACTTATTGTTATTTTTGGGGTTTATATGATATGAGTTTTCTGATCCGGCCCCTTTGGGATCAAAGTCGGTTGGATACGGCCCCCGGATCAAAATGAGTTTGACACCCCTGGTCTATGTGATTAAACACTTCATATTTGATCAGTCTCAGGTATTTGTTCACAGTGCAGCATGCTATACATCTATTCTAATAAGTTCGACCTAAATAAATGAAAGGTGTGCTGACTATACGCACCACACGGCCTTCATCTGGGTCGTAGAACCTCTCCAGCAGCTGTACACTGGTGCTTTTGCCACAGCCGCTGCTGCCCACAAAGGCTAGGGTTTGGCCCGGCTTCACAGACACATTTAAACCGTTCAAGACCTGGATGTCAGGCCTGGTGGGGTAGGTGAACTTGCAGTCAATGAACTCGATGTTGCCTTGGAAGTTATCCTAAACAACAAACAGAAATAGAACAAGGGTCAGTATGAGGCTAGAGTGGTGTAGTGCCCCCCTGTGGCTCAGTCTGTCACTACAGTTATCTATAGGAGCAGTGTATGGGAGAAAGAGATTTATACTATACTTTTGTTCAGACGTTTATGCAAAATTATCAAGCATGGAGAATAAAATACGCCTTCAGTTCACCTTTGTTTCTTCCATAAATGTATCATTAAAAGGGGATCCCTTTTCATAGGAGATTATGCGCCTGTGTGTAACATGAGGTATCACATCATATCCTCATACCCATTTCTTTCCCTTGTCACTGTAGACACTGATAAGAGGATCGCGGTCGAGCAGCTGGAAGAAACGTGCAGCTGAGATCTTGGCTTTGGCATAGTCTGGTGTGTAGGAGGATGCTCTGCCTAAAGCCTGGCCACCTGTAATAATGGCTGAGATCACCCTAAAACAGTGAAAAAGATGATCATGTTAATTATTCTAGCACTATTTTACCTAAGCGACTTCACAAACATGTTTGCCTTTCATACCGGAAAACCATGCTGAAATGTAGCCCCTCTTGTCGTACCAAGTATCCCCCAAATCTGTAGGAGGCAGAGTTTGTGAAGAACACAATACATTGTGCAAAGCCGTAGCAGGCCCCGTACACGTTAGCCTTCTTTATAGCAGCATCGTATGGAGCGTGGAGCTGAGCCTCATACATTTGCACAAAAACCTTCTCTTTGCCCAAGCCAGCAATGGTGCGGATGTTATTCAGGGCTTCGCCAGAAATCTGTCACACATAAATGTGATTACAGTGATTATTCACCAAACTTTTCACCTCTTTACTCAGGGCAGGACTATAAAATTATTAAAACCTGTTCTTTCTGACACTGGGTAGGCATTGGACCTAGATGAGAACACACTCACAAGAAAGCGCACAAGAAAGGCTTATTTTAAATGTGTGTCTCACTGTAAACACACTTATGGCACTTATGGCACCCAAACTGCAGTCCAGTGGGTATGGCAAGAAAAGAGAGGTGCAGACCTCCAAAACCCCGTGTATCAGGTGTGTGCAGACTGAGTAGAAGGTCTGTCTCCCACTTGGCTAAGCGTACCTTCCCAAAAAAATCCTGCAGGCGCTCCTGGTAATCAATACAGTAACTACAAACATAACAGCGCCTGCAGGAGTCACTTATAATTCACTATTACCATGGGAGCAAAATCTGCCTACAGATTAAGCATTTGCTTTTCTCTTATCTATTTTATGCTGTTGCATTCTTCCCATAAGGTACCATTAATCTTTCATTTACTCTACTTTAAATGAAGAACTAAGCATGTGTGTTACTGCAATAAAAAAGTCCACAGCGCACAGTTAAGAAATGTTTTTTTGTTTGTCCTTAGGTAAAGTATTTTTAATATTGGGTCCTAGTATTTTAAACTGAAATTACAAAACCAAAGCCTTCTGATTCTTTTTCAGTGACTTACTCACTGACAAAACTTTTATAAACAGTATAGAAGAAATATATTGCTAGAGAAAATATTGAAGACCATTTTATTCCAGTGATTCGTAAACTCTTCAAGCGTAATTACCAGAGCAAATCCTTTTAACAGAACCATAATGGAAATAAAATGAGCTGTGATCAAGTTATGTAGTTAAATACTCATCCATCTACAATTCAAATGTTAATGTACTACAACAATAAGGAGTTCCTATACATAACCACTGAGCTCAAACTAATGTGGTTTATCTTTCATTTACAGAACAATCTTTTGATATAGTAACTACCAAGTATTAATAGATTTAAAAATACTACGACTGACCCGTCCTGCTGTCTCCATGGCTGCTTTGTCTTGTTTAGCGAAACCCATGAGCATTTGTGCCTGGAAACCTGCTGACAGAACGATGAAGGGGAGGAAACCCAGGATGACCATGGTGAGCTTCCAGCTGAAGTAAAAGGACATAATGATGGCCACGCCAATGTTGGTCAGAGAGTCGACAATCATTCCAATCTGGGAGCCGGTAGCCTAACAAAAAACACCAGGATGTGAAATGTTGAGTCTTACCAACCTCTCCCTGACCCATATTTTACAAGAGGATACACTGGTGACTAAACATGCTTCTCTCACCAAGCTTTTGTATTCTAAGTAAAAATAGAATTGTTTTATGGTTAATAAAGATGCTATAGTAAGTACAGTATTCATTATATGCTGTTTATAGAAGTTATTATAATTGTTTGGATTATTTTATGAACCCCTGGGTACTCAGGGAGAATACTTGAGGACCCAAATTTTGAAGACTGGGAATCACTGTTCTATATAAACAACTGAACTTTAAATTGTCAGACCAAGAAATATGGCTTGGAATTAAAGCCTTTTGTATCCTCTGAAGACATAACTTACCCCTTGGACTTGGGATGCATCTGTGGCCAACCTTGTGGTCAGAGCTCCGGGGCTGTTCCTGTGGTCATCGAACCAGCCGACCTCCTGACCCAGCATGGCCTGGAAGCCCAGCCTTCGCAGCCTCCGGGTCAACAGTTCTCCAGACTTTGAGAAGGCATACCCCTGCAGATATCCAGGCCAGCCTATTACATGTTTACACCACACTATCTCTTTACATTAAACAACATATGGGCCAATGTACAGCTCATATATGCATCTCATGTTACAAGTTGAACGCATGTGGGCTTAGGCAGTAAAGACTTAAACGTACTGTACCTGAAGCATCTGAGTGAAGAAAGAAATTACTCCGACCATGACAAAGAAGAGGCAGATACCATCTATCTCGTTGCGCTGCTTCACAGGATCTGGTATAGAAAACGTCTGCACACACAGGGGAGGTACTCACACTTGTACTGTTACACACTGATACTTTCACACTGAGGATGTCACTTACAGCCAGGATTTGACTGAATAGCAAAGAGTACACAGGGTTGACTCCTCCATTAACTGCAGCTCCGATGGAACCGACTAACATGTAAGGCCACTCGGGTCTGTTATACTTGAGGATCCTGGCCACGGGAGCAGGCTCTACCGGCTCCTCTTCGTCTTCAACAGCCGCAGCAGTCTGTTTATCACACACACTATCAAAATGTGTATGCTACTAGCTCAGAACTAGATGTAAAAGAAAAGCATTTTTCACTATGAGGATTTTGTTGGACAATTTGGGGACTACAAAATATTTAGTTACCTTTAAACAGTATAATAAAAAATCACTGTTTTGGTTCTGAAAAAATTATTACTATATATTACTCAGTACAAATTATTTAGAAATGTGTGTTCACATTAGTGCCTGTATGTACAAGGACAACTTCTCTGCATATTATTAACATTTATTTAACACTTTTGGACAACACTGTAAATAAATATATTATGTATATACTTAACAATCAGTAGTTACACAGTTTTTCTCAGTTGCTCTGGCATATTTTTCTGATCAGAACTTAACATTTCATAACTGTTAAGTCATTACAGTTATTCTCAATTGCTGTGGTGCATTTCCCTGACCAGAACTGAAATTCAAAAGTCATTTTTCAGTTTGCAAATCATTCTTACATTTGCAAGTAATTTTCTTGTTTGTTTTTCCAAAGAGCAAATGCTTTGGAGCATTGTTTCAAATGATTTTGTGCAATTCTCTGCTGGTCCTTACACTTTTGATTTCATTTTGTCAAACTGTTAAAAATGCGTATTTGGCTGAACCATTCAAAACATTAAAAAAATCATTGGCTTTGACACTAAAGACTAAATTTTGGCTAACATTTTCAAATCTTACCACTGAACGAGCAAATATTCTCTGCACGTGCTATAGTCTGTACCTAAATACTGCACACTCTTGTCAAAGTCCATAGACCGAAGACACAAAGGAACAAACTGAACACACAAAAATAATAATATGAATAGTTTTTATAGTCAGACACAAGCATCTGTCACTTCTGTAGTAAAAACCTGTGTAAACCAGGTTTTCATTACAGTCCAATCCTTTTTATAATAGTGTGTTACGTTTTGTTCACAAAGTTACATTTTTCACACATTCTGAATTGTCTTGTGTAAATTGTTTTGTCAAGAGGGTAAAAGATTTGCCAGATTTATAAAAAGTTTCAGAAATTTGTTAATACATACAATGGGTTTTGATGTTTATATTACTAGTTTTGAGGATTGCATTTAAAGTTTTAAGAAAAAACAAAATCAGTTCAACTCTGAAAATTGCACCAAAGCATCTGAGAAAAAAACGTCCATTAACTTGATGGTAGAAATTAGACATGTGGTCTTGCAATAGGTAGCCACTCACACATAATGTCAGTTGCATTGGAGTCAGCAGCACACACCTTTGATTTCTCTGACTGGGAAAGCGAGTATGCTCTGGGGCCAAGATCTCCCGTGGAGGAAACTGAATCAGGAATGAGGTTGGACATCTGTGATCTGGACCGCTGGCGAATAGAGGCCCTGAGACCAAAGTCAAAGAAACAGGAGTGTTGTCTTAACCCTGGATTCACATTCATCAACTTTTTTCTCACTCTGATATGTGAGGTATAGGAAAACTGCAGGTTTACATTAAGTTCTGCTTTTTCTTATACCCAAACTGTTGTTTAGAATAGATGGTGGTGTCAGTGTAATGCTTCAAATGGCCAAGTAAATGTAAAAGGCTATTTTAGCAAATTATAGTGCTAGTCTCTGCTTTCACGTGGTTCAATGTTGACCATGTAACAACCAATAATAGCTTCTCTAATAACCCTAATAACTCTAATAATTTAGATGCTAGCCCCGGTTTTGTTAATGGATATAATGCACAAGACAGCAATTGAGTAGAAAGCAGAGAAGAGGTGAGAGGATGTGTCTGGACTGTACCTCAGACTGTCTCGGTAGCTGCCTGCTCTGCTGATGTTGCGACCCTCCAGCTCTTCCTCCGTGTGGGCCACTGGTACAAAACACATCTGAGTGAAAGTTCTGCATCTTAAATCAAGTGCATGTTAAGATCTGTTTATTACTTTCTCGGGCTTTCTCATTTAGAGCCTTGTCGCCTTGGCTCTGCAGTGTGACCAGGGTGAAGTAGACCCCTTTTCTCTCCAGCAGCTCGTTGTGTTTCCCTCTTTCAACAGCACGCCCATGCTCAAAACCCACAATCACATCTGCATTCTTTATAGTGGACAAGCGGTGGGCAATGGAGATAGTAGTCCTACCCTGACGTACCTGTAGAAACATCAGGAAATATTCTCAACCACAGAACTTTCGAAGAAATCGGATAAGTGTGGCACCTACTTTATCCAGAGCTTCTTGGACCACAGCCTCACTCTCATTGTCCAGTGCAGATGTAGCCATGTCCAGCAGCAGAATACGAGGGTTTCTGACTAGCGCTCGGGCTATTGCTATGCGCTGTTTCTGACCTCCACTCATCTGACCCCCACCCTCACCCACCAGTGTATCAAATTTCTGAAATCAGTTCAGAAGTGTTGTAAAGACAAACATGTCTAGTCATGTCATGTTCGATTAGAGTCATACAAGACAAGTTGTTACCTGAGGCAAGTCCATAATGAAGTTGTATGCATTAGCCTCTTTGGTAGCAGTAATGATGTCTTCCATGGTCACCCCAGGACGGCCATAGCGGATGTTCTCTGCGATGGTGGTGGCAAAAAGCACTGGCTCCTGCTCCACGATGCCAATCAGAGATCGCAGCCACTGAATGTTGAGCCCTCTTATGTCGTGACCATCCAGGGTCACCTGCAATACAGGACACACAGAACAGGTGGCTCAGCTCAACTTGATGGATGATGCTATTACACTGTTTTGTTGCTTTAATATATTTTGTGCTATACTTTTCTTTTGCATAACCTTGACATTCTAACCTTTGGAGGCTATTTTTCTGCAGAAACTGAAAAAGAAGATCAAGGTCTAATTCCAGTGAAACAGGCTCTATGGGCTTATTGTCTGATAATGAAAGAGATTATCATGTAATTTTATCAATCCCGCGGGATGTCTATTTTTAAAACTACTCTGAATGTAAAAAGAAGACAGCTGCCACACCAAAGGACTTCATTTCCAGCTTGACAAAAAGGCAGCTGACACAAGAATGACTATATTACTCCTGTACCTTTGATAGTGTGTTTGAAATGCAAACGCACCATGCCCTCTTTGGGGTCATAGAAGCGCTGGATGAGCTGAATAGCAGTACTCTTCCCTGCACCGCTCGGACCCACAAATGCTGTGGTCTCTCCTGGCTTCACTGCAACACTCAGCTGATCCAAGATCTGTCATAACACCGTACGTTACAAAGAATACAATGGGTTTATTTTCCGATGATCTGATAAACCACTGAGTTGGTTACCTTTACTTCAGGTCTTGAGGGGTAGTGGAAGGTCACATTGTGAAACTCAATATCTCCTTTGACCCTGTCCAGTTTATATCCAGCTTCAGATAAACAGTCGATCTCCGGCTCCTGCCAGTGGCACATTTCAAGGAACAACTCATCAATAAGACTCAGCAGTTGCCATAGAAAAAACATCAATGTTATTTCTCAGCCTTATAATAGGACAGAGTTATAATGTCAAGTGTCTTACTCTATCAATAGTTTCAAAGATGGTGGTTGCAGCTCCACGGCCTGCAGCAAAGGCTTGCAGACATGGTGAGGCCTGGCCCAAATTCATTGCAGCTATCAAGACACCGAAAAACACCTGAAAGAGAAAAAAAACACATCATAACTGCATGTTTAATGCAAGTACCACTGATTTGGAGCTATATGAATAGTGCATAGGTGGGTACTACTAACTTTGACTAATATTTTTTTTATGTCAAACCTGCAGCAGTGTTCCCGGTGTGTACTCCTGTGTGTCCACCACGAGACCAGAGCCGTACCAAAAGGCCAGTCCATAGCAGAAAAAGATAATGAGCCACATGTATCCAGTGAAGAAGCCCATGATGAGGCCCTTCCTGATGCCCCACTGCTGCGCTGACACCAGGTTCTTGTCATATCTGCACACACTCAAGTTCAGTGGGACCAAGCCAACTCTACACCTGTGAATCATTTACCTGTCCACTTCTTTTTTCTCCCCGCCGAAGGCTGCCACTGTACGAATAGAGGAAAGAACCTCGTCAGCCACTGCTCCTGCTTTAGCGTAGGCCTGCAGCTCTAGGCCCGTTAGCTTGGCCACAAACTATTAAGAGAGTAAAGTTCTTATATAGTTATAAAGTTATGTTCAAAACTATCAAAGGCAACGCCATAATAACAGGGCTTACTAGGGCCATGAGACCAGTTGCAATACCAATTAGAGGACTTGCAGCCACAATCACCAGTGTTAATTTCCATCCTTTAACAAAGCCAACACAGAAACCACACACAAAAGTGGTAAAACGCTGCAGGAAAATAGCCACTTGGTCAGCTATGGCATTGTTGATCTTGTTGATATCGCTGTAATACACAGGAAATAAGTCAATTATTCAAACCTGCTGTGCTGCTGGTATTCATACAGCCACAATGTGAGCACTCACTCAGACATGCGAGTGTTGAGCTCCCCCACAGATGTACAGTCAAACCAGCCAATCTCCATCCTCATCACTTTACCAAAGTACGTCTTTCTGATCAATTGGATTTGTCTTGCTGCTGCCATCACCCACAGAGAGATCTACAGTGGAGATGTGTAGTTTTCAGTTAGTTTGAGCAATGACAGAAGGGCAGTAAAATAAATAATCAAATATGTAGCAAACTGGTTGTACATGAGGTAGTGAGCGTCAAAAGTAAACTTGTCAAGTGTGTATCAATATTTAAATCATTTAAAAACTAACCTGGAGGTAACCAAGCAAAAACACAGCAAATCCGATGCCAGCATAGTAAAAGGCAAATTTGGTCATTTCATATTCAATGTCTAGATTCCTGAAAATGGGCACACAGTACAGTAAATAAAAGATGATCCCTGCATAAAGGTATGTAAACATGGATCTAAAAAGAGCAGGAATCTTTTAATACCGCATCATACATGATATTTGATGTCGGAAAAGCCTGCCTCATGCATTTCTTACAAGCACTTACCCACACGGCAGCTCCCTCAGTGGAGTGAGCATCTCCCATGTTGAATTGTTCATGATGCCCCAGGCAGACTGGCTCATGTTCAGTCCAGCTGTGTAGTTCCTCTTCCATTGGATGGTGCCGTTCACACACTCTTTTCTATCATCCATCAGTTCATTCAGCTCCACATCATACTCAATGAAAGTGTCTGTGAGAAGGCCAAATACCAGCAGCATCAAGGGCTGTGCGGAGCCATGGAGCACCGCACACATGCTGCCCACCATCATCATCAGGATGTCTCGCTTTGTGGAAAAACGGAACTGTGCAGACACAAATGAACTGAGGAATAACATCTGAAAAAACAACCACACTGACTGTCAGAGAACCAGAGATGTTACCAGCTGGAAGAAGCCAACCCTTATGGCCTGCTGTTCAGTGTTTCCTGAAGCTCTGATAAACAATAGGACATTCAAGTTCATTTATAGAAATGAAGAAATCAACACTCAAATTATTCTGACTTACTTTGCATCCCCTTTAGAAGCTGACATACTCCTATGTGGAATAAAAAAACTTTTTAGTTGTCATGGGAAAAAAAGTAATTGTATTGTATTGTTTATCCAAAAAGCCAATTGGGTCCACAAGACAACAAAATAATAAAATGTTCATAATTTGTCCATGTGTTTCTCTTGTATTCTCTTGTATTGAGATTACACTCCTATACAAACCCCATTTTGCTAGCAATAAAAAAACATACGGATTGGAATGAGAGATCATTTTGAGATCTTGTCCCAGCCCTGTGTGGTACACATGGCCAGGGGCATTGCTTTAAAAACCTAACACACTTTTTCTTCAGAATTCCAGTGAAGACTGACTGAAACATGTTCAGATAATGTGCATTTAAGAGTGTTCCCCACTCACATGTAGGATCCAGCAGGCTCTACAAAAGATCAAGATAACACAGTTTATTCTTAAGTTAGTAGTCATTCAGTTAAGTGTTTAACCTGTCTAGTCATGTCATCGTGCTCCGGTCATCTAGATAATTTACCTTCATCTGAGACTTCATAGCTGTGGTTTTCCTGGCCCAGTTTTTTAATGCTTTGCAATGTTACTGAACCTGCTGGCATTTTGATTCTCCTAAAAAATACAATTTTTAAAAATCTAATTCTAGCAATCAAGCATTCAAGGCAGACAAAAGAGTGTCACTTACCTATATGTCCATGCAGGCTTAAAAGATAATTATTACTAAATGCGTTTCAGATAAATTGTGATATTCTGTAGAAGCTGTGAGCCTGGAGTGTGGCCCCTGTGGCAGCTCTGCTTCCACCTGTGTTCTTTGACACTGAGGCACGTGTTGTTTTTGAGCTGCGATGGTTTGGGTGGAACATGGGGTCAGAGTGTGTGTTTGAGGGTAAGTGTCCGGCCGGTTGTATTGAACAGGTCAATGACCAGCCCAGCAAACACTTTACCTACTGTTCATGTGGCCTACATCAGTGCAATGAAAGATTATCCAACATTAAAACAAAAGAAATAGGTTTGTAACTTTTGTTTGACTCTTTCCCCAAACATTTTTCTGTTGTTCTCTGACTCAGGAAAAACACAAGAATTTGCAGTAGGGGAGTTTAGTTAGATTGTTTCAGCACAATTTTTGAAACTTGGTTTAGTTTGATTATCTGATTCCAACATTTAACTGAACAGAGGCACTAGTGGTCAAATTATTGGCACATGTCTCATCAATCCACACAAGGTGTTTCTCAGAACACTTGACACAGCTCTCATTCAGAACCACAGGCAATCAATGAATTCAACTTTTTTTCAATACCACTCACTACTCACTTTCAATATATAAATTCAAACATAATGTCAAAATCCTACAATTTGTGAGCACCAAAAGTCTTACAGAGGGAGAAGGTCTCAGTATAGACTGTATAGACTACATACAGATATTCACACTGACATGTGTAAATGTCATATTACAGTGCAAAGGTAGTGTTTTTCTTCAGCATAAATATTTTTGATCAAATACTGCAAAATGTACTTTGCAGTTGGTAATATGTACATTTATATTTTAATGATACAGACAGACATGTTTTAGACAAAAAAGCAAAGCTTTTCCAGTCCAAACTTGTATGCAAAGTATGAACCCCCAATGTCAGGCCACCTGATTCTCTGTGAAACTTCTGAGCTGCACTGTGAAATGAGTTTTGATGGGAAAATTTGCTTTTGGAGGATGGTTGCTAAATTTTGATCAAAAAACTGCATTTTGCTGAGATAAAATTTTGCTTAGGAAAACATTAATTCTGGAATGATTTTTGTGTGAGCTGTTTTTGCAAATTTTCAGTAGCTACATGTACCAAAGGGATCGGCGGGGGAAGCTGTAACTGGTTTAATATTTAATGTTAATTGTTTAGTTTAGTCTTTATTTAAAGGGACCATGTGCTGAGACATTAAGCTCATAAAGACAGAAATAGATAAAACAGATAAATAGCTAGTTTCCATCTGCATCCCTTGTGGCTAACGCCTTTGGAAATAATGCATTTTATGCTGTACATTTTGAGAACCTCCTGAGATATCTCTACACAAACCACTGTAACTGCTGAGGAAAAATGTAATCCAGAGAAAACTCTACTCAGCATACATTTGCTTTTTCTAAAATGAGCCTAATGCAGTCAGTCAGTGTACGCAAGGTCCCTGACCCCAACTTTCTCATGCTCTTTAGAACTAGTACCTTTGGATACCCTAAATTGGAAAAGAGAACAAATTAAACTCCTGTGTGAGCAGAGGGGTTTTTTGTACTCACATGAACTTTACACGTAGGCTACAAGTGAACTTATTTTTAATTATTCTAGTGCCACTAATCAATAACTATGTTACCTTATTCTTATTTGTCAATCATAAAATATGTATTTTTATACAGCAAGTATAGCATAAAATAAAGAATTTCTTCCTGGTATACTGTATAAAGAAGTATACATTATCCATATCTATAACTATCAATACAATAGGCTATATACAGTCTGTGCTCTATATGGATGAGTGGTCAACAAACAAAAACGAGACAGTGGTGCCATCTAGTGGTAGTGGAGTGTCACAGTCAACAACCTCTTGTAAGTTCATTAAATCTACTGTACTGACAGCAGTGTTACAAGAGACGTAGACTGGTCATTGGATGTTTGCAGTTGTTTCATCTTGTGAGTGCGTGCTGGGATGGAAGAGAGAAAAGAGACCCAGCGCTTGTCTAGGTCCAATGCCTACCTAGTCAGAAAGAACAGGTTATAAAGTTTTTCAGCACTCCCCTCAGTAAAGAGCTGACCAATAGTTTGGAAAACCCACGTTAGACATGCAAAACCAAAAAAATCAAAAAAGTCTTGCTATAATAAACAAAATAAAATATTACCTTGATCAGAATGCCCTTCGTACATTACACTGTTCACTGGTTCTCCCTTACTTCACATATTGCGTTGAAGTGTGGTGGAACACTTACCAATGTATTCTTCATCCATTGATTATGTTGCAGAAACGAGCATTGCAAATCATCCATAAAGAAATTTTAGTCCAAGCTCCCAAAGATTCCTGGAACAGTCTGGATACACATCTCAAGCAATGCCAAAACATCCATAAATTCAAGTTGTTATATAAACACATGGTCTGGTCACAGTATATATAGAGAGGGTCTTCTGTAGTGCTGGTTTATGCTTGTTGTTTCCATACCATTGTGCTGTCCATTACCATTACTTGTATCTGCTGTATGTTACTATTGTTTTTATCCTTTTATATTATTGCATATGATTATAGTTACATTACCAAACTATAACATTTACTCACTGTTCTTACATGTAAATAGTTCATAAAATATCTGAAGAACGCAAAAGAAAGCTCATCATGTTAAATTAGAAGATGGGGGTGGGATTAAATACATTTTCTTCTTCCTACATATTTTTGGGCAATTTTGGTTGTTGTTGTTGTTTTGTTTTTGTTTTTGTTGTTATGGTTGCACTAATTTCAGTATGGATGATACTATGTTCCATGGTAAAAGAAAGTAAACTGCTTATTTGCCCAAAATAAATGCATAAATAAAAAATAATATTGACATATGAACAGACTGTTCTCAAACTTCCGGTTTTTCGCCCTCTTTGGCCAGGAATTGGTTCTGGAGGAAGTGGGCTTGGTTGTAGTTGTTTGGACCTTAGACTCGCTTGTAGCTTATCACATTTCAAGGCCTTTCTACATATCATGTAGCATTCCTCTGCCGGGACAGACTTGGAATCTGGATTTACGAAGACTGAGCTCCACGTCTTGACAAAGGTTTTGAAAATGTTTCTGCAATTAAGCCCTAACGTCTTTGCGCATTATAACATACGGCAAAAGAGTTGGAATTGTGGAACGCAACAATAGAAAAATATATTTATGCCTAGCTATATGAAAATCTGTTTGTAGGAGTTACTGGGGTAAGTTGGGCCACTGGGTCATCTATTAAATCTTCAAAACTTTTATTACACATGGCATACATTGAAAGTATGCATTCTTAAACCGTGCAAGCTATAAAATGTTTGTTAACAGTTTAGTTAGGCGCTGTTTATTTCCTGCAAATTAATTAAAATGAATCGATTCAAAACTAGAGTAAACCAGATTGGGGTTATTAAAAGGAACACCGGGTACGGGGGCGAAAAAAATTGGTGCTGTTTGTACTTTGTAACCGGCGATATATGGTGGTGTTTGATTTTGGCATGGTTTTATTTTCCCGACAGTGTCTATATTCCCTGCCCCTGCTATGATACAGCGCTGCTCCTGTCACTTCTCACAGACAGGAGTTTTCAGTCTTGGATTCAGAGCAGGATGAACATTAAGACCTTAGTTTTATCAGGACGTTTGAACAGAACGGACTATTGGACTGGTGTAGCGAGTGCGCGCCACGGTTACGTTCCTGAGTCCACAACGCTCCACACTTTTCCATGTGGGATTTATGAACATATCTCCGCGGCGGGAATTTGAGGTCAGTTTTCATCAAATAAAAAGTGGTCGTGTATAGTTTGAGACATGAAGAACCGCGTCATGATCATCCAATCTCTCCACATGAGCAAATATGCCTTCGTAATAATACTTTTAATAAATGTAGGCTTATTTTCTGAGCGGTCTGTGCCCTCGCTGTGCACAGTGCAGTAAAAGCGCAGGTGATTGTATCCTTGGAATCCTTGTGTCTGATCAGGAGAGCAAAGATTGTCCCCAAAACCAAAATAAGTGTCCCACTCAAAGCTGTCTATTGATAGAGTCAAAATCTTGGCATCATTGGCATAATTTAGAAATTCCTCCCAGACGTTTTTTTGGGTCCCAAAAGGAGGAAATGTCCGGAAAAAAAAGGACGTCTGGTCACACTATGGTCCAAAACCAAAACTATGTGTTCTGGAGTCCTTAATGTACATAGTTACAAAATATCCCAAAATGTTTGTAGAGTGCTTTATTTAATTCAGATTTACTATTGTTTCGTCAAAGAACACACCAAAGCAATCAGTGGATCAACTTACCCCAGTTTCACCTATTTCTTTAGTCTTAAAGGACTACGTTAAGTTAACCAAAATATTTGAGGCAATAGTTGTTTTGTTTTTTTTGCCGTTTCAATTTATGGTTTTTAGGCTCATGATTTTGTGGTTAAGCTTCAGTTATGCCAATACCGTCTCCATGAAGAGCTAGTTATCGTATAATAACTTATAACATAGCATAGCCTACTGAGCCTAGTTTGAGTCTTTTTCTTTTGCTTGCATAACAGTTATTTGCCACACAGAATAATTAAACTTTTACAGTTACAGATTAATTATTTGTTTAGTTTTGCAGAAATGTTCCTGTACTTTTTGGCACTTGTGGCTCTCTATTATGTATACCGATGGATCAGAGAGATACCCAGGGTCTCGGACAAGAGCAACAAGTATGTGTATATCACCGGCTGTGACACTGGCTTTGGAAACCTTTTGGCACGGCATCTGGACAAGATGGGTTTCAGAGTGATTGCAGGCTGTTACAGTGAGAAAGGAGAGGAAGATCTGAAGAAGTCTTGCTCTGAAAGGTTAACTGCAGTGCACCTTGATGTTGTATCCAAAGATAGTGTGGCCAAAGTGGCAACATTGATCAAGGACAAAGTAGGAGAGCGTGGTGAGTGATAATCTTGTATGATGGTCTGACTTAAAGCTACCAGTTTATTTGATTTTGTTTTACCAGTAGTGGCGTTTTTTCTGTATTTTACTGAACTAACATATGTCTAATTGTGATTTCTTCAGGCTTGTGGGCTGTGGTGAACAATGCAGGTCTGGCTCTCCCCTCTGCCCCCTGCGATTGGCTCACCATAGATGACTACAAAAACATGTTGGACGTGAACTTGAATGGGGTCATAGCTGTGACCTTGAGTGTCTTACCACTGATAAAGAAGGCCAGAGGAAGAGTGGTCAATGTCGCTAGTGTATTTGGAAGAATCAGTGCGACAGGAGGTCCTTACCCTGTGTCGAAATATGGAGTGGAAGGATTTAATGACTCCCTCAGGTTAAGCAATAAATCATATAGAATCATTATTTTTTTGTAAGTCTAGTTAATAATTAAATAGCTTCTCCTCAGGCTTAACATGCGCCGATTTGGTGTCAGAGTCCTCTGCATTGAGCCTGGCTTCTTCAAAACAAATGTGACCAATGCTGATATGATTATGAAGTCTGTGACGTCTCTGTGGGAAAACCTGCCCCAAGAGGTTAAAGATGGCTATGGAGCAAATTATATAGACACTGGTACATTTTATATGGTATTCCTTTTGTATTACAATTATTGTGCAGATGTTTTGGAAAGTTTTTGCTTTGTTGTACAGTTCAAGAAATACTCAGTAACCTGCCAAGGATGAGTGATGGTGATCTGATGAAGGTGGTCAACTGTATGGAACATGCCGTCTCCGCAGTCCGGCCCAGGACGCGCTATTCTCCTGGCTGGGATGCCAAGTTCTTCTGGCTGCCACTGTCATACATGCCATCATGGATCTCAGATTATATTCTGACAGCACAAAGTTGAAAGTGACATTTTGCTTCCCTTTACTACAAAGTCAGTTTGAGCATTCCTATTCAAGTTTATTGCATGCCATTTCATGTATGTATGGTCTAGTATTCACATCTATTTAGTGCTCCAATAAAAGAACAAATCCTCAGAAAGACTTGGCTTTTGCAAGTTGTTCCTTTCAGTTCCCTTTTCCTCTGAGGCTTAAGCAGACTCCGCAAAAACAATGGCATTAAACCACTGAACCTCTCCCATTAGCACAAAACATGGGATACAGAATTACTGGTGGTTATTACAATATGTGGAGTAAAAGACCATAACTGAAGTCATGTTCAACAATTTATTTCCATCAGACATTTAGGCATGATAGCTCAATGCCTTTGAACTTGTAGTTAAAAGGACAAGTGTGACAAACCAGTATGAAGCTGACAGATGTTGTGGACAGACCGCTTTTATTTCATCCTTTCTTAGGAAACATTAAATAGAACTTTATATGAACAAGACAGGTACGATTGGTATTTTGACATGTTTTACAAACCAAGTGCTCCTAACCCCTTTCCAGGACAGTTTATAATTTGGATCTTTAAGAGTGCTCCTCGGCAAGCTTCTCAGCCTTCTGGACAACTTCTTCAATGGGACCAACCATGTAAAAGGCCTGCTCAGGCAGGGCATCATACTCACCTTATAAAAACAAAAAGCAATTTCTATTATGGAATATGGACAAATAAATGCACAGCAGTGGCCATTTCAATTTTCCTTACCTGCAAGGATGGCCTTGAAGCCCTTGATGGTCTCCTTCAGTGGTACCAGCTTGCCCATGTGACCAGTGAAAACTTCGGCCACCTGGAAGGGCTGTGACAAGAAACGCTGGATCTTACGGGCACGCGCCACAGTCAATTTGTCCTCCTCTGACAACTCATCCATACCCAGGATAGCAATGATATCCTGCAGGGATTTGTAATCCTACAAAAGGAGAAGATTACTAATGAGCATAATATTTGTGTAGATTAGAATATGTGGACGTAAATTCAGTCAAACCTGAAGGATTTTTTGCACACCACGGGCAACATCGTAATGCTCGGCACCCACAATATTGGGATCCATGATACGGGAGGTGGAGTCCAAGGGGTCCACAGCAGGATAGATACCTAGCTCAGCGATGGCTCGAGATAACACAGTGGTGGCATCCAAGTGAGCGAAGGTTGTAGCTGGGGCAGGGTCAGTCAAGTCATCAGCAGGCACATAAATAGCCTTGGGATTGGAAAAACAATCAGATTTTAATTGCTCTACCTCATTCACGGCACAGTTTATATAGACCTAATTTACCTGCACAGATGTAATGGAACCCTTCTTGGTGGTGGTGATTCTCTCCTGCATGGTACCCATGTCAGTGGCCAAAGTTGGCTGATAACCCACAGCAGATGGGATACGACCCAGGAGGGCAGACACCTGAAAAATAATCACAGCATTGTCAAAAAGCCCAAAACACAAATCTGTCCATTAACCTATAACCTTGTACTTGGAAAAGCTACTCACCTCAGAGCCAGCTTGTGTAAAGCGGAAGATGTTGTCAATGAACAGCAGTACATCTTGACCTTCTTGGTCACGGAAATATTCAGCCACGGTGAGACCAGTAAGAGCCACTCTAGCACGGGCACCTGGGGGCTCATTCATCTGTCCGTACACCAGGGCCACCTAGTGAAACAAATGCAGTGAGTCGAAGGGCCACTAATAGCTTCAATACCATCAATACCATCAACATGAAAAAACTCACTAACCTTGGAGGTAGTGTCTTTCAGGTTAATGACACCTGACTCAATCATTTCATGGTACAAGTCATTTCCCTCACGGGTGCGCTCTCCCACACCAGCAAACACAGAGTAACCACCATGGGCCTTGGCCACATTGTTGATAAGCTCCATGATCAACACAGTCTTGCCAACACCAGCCCCTCCAAACAGACCTGAAAACCAGAATATATAGTTTTATTAATATAATGTCAAGTTCATTGGTAATTCACATTAGACGTTATGTTGACATACCAATTTTTCCTCCCTTGGCATAAGGAGCAAGCAGGTCCACAACCTTAATGCCAGTGACCAAAATTTCCTGCTCCACACTCATGTCTGTGAACTCAGGAGCCTCTGCGTGAATTGGGGCAGTCCTGGGGAAGGGGGAAAAAAAAAAAAAACAGTAACAGAATGCATTTACGTCTACAGGTTTTATAGTTCTATTTTTAACATTAACTCACTGTTTCGTTGAAATGGGTCCTCTCTCATCAATTGGTTCACCAATTACATTCATAATCCTACCCAAGGTCTCCGGGCCGACAGGAATTCTAATAGGAGCCCCAGTGTCCAGGACTTGCTGCCCACGAACCAAACCCTCAGTACCATCCATGGCAATGGTTCGCACAGTGTTCTCCCCTGGAGATATGAAAAGGGAAAGATAGGAATTTATAGTGCCTTCATATTTTAAACTCCGTCTGATATAAAACTGCACTCACCAAGATGCTGAGCCACCTCTAGGACAAGCCTGGAGTCACGGCCAGCGACCTCCAGAGCGTTGAGGATGGGAGGAAGGCCCTCATCGAACTGGACGTCGACCACGGCCCCAATGACAGCCACGATCTTCCCACTGGCTGTAGCTGCGGCGGCGGCAGGGGCAACATAGTTTCGGCCTACAAAATATTAAATGCCGTAAAATTATTTTTCGTAACTCTTGTTTAATAAAAAATCTCGTCAATAGCCATTTATCGTATCAACCAAGTAAACCGTACAAAATGTTCACATGCCTCTCACTGGGTGACAGCCTGACAACGACTCAAATGAATGAGCTGCGTTGAGCTAGTTATGCTAACGCTGCTTCAACAACCTTCTTTACGGTCACAAGTTATGGTGTCCTTCAAACGCATCGATGAGAATGAGTAACATTATCAAAAAGGGGCTTTCATTTTTAAATGAATCTAGCATATTTAAGTTTGGATTGTTCACTGCACTGAAAGTTGACCAACATGGCCTCACGTCATCTACAAAGGTCATTCTGCTAACACACAAACAACATCGCGCAAAGCTTCTCGTCCGTGTCGTCCCAATAAGAGAGATCCACTGTGAATACACTCGTGCAAGCAAGTAAGGAATATTTACAGCACTAATAAATTATTTAAGCAATATCATCTCAAAGGCCTTCAGCTCCACCGGTGCACATTCAGCGTGGAGGTGACTAGCTAGCACAAGTCTAGGTTAGCCTAGCCACGACATTGTGTCACTCGCGTTTGCTTCATATGGCATTATTTTGCTTATATCATAGACATGCATAACATACGTGAGAGGACAGCGGGGGATCCAACAAGGGCTTTCAGGGGCTGGGCCCCAGGCTTCAGAGCCTGCAGAGCCCCGGTGCAGCAGCGTCCCAGAGCTCCTAGCATGGTTAAAATGGCTGAAGGTGGAAAGAGACAGCGGAACTCTGAGCTTTATAATGATACGCGGCCCAGCCCAACTGCGCTTGCGTCCTGCGCGACACTGTTTGGAGCATGCGCATAACCTCAGTGACATTCTGCCCTCCATTGAAATGACGGGCACGGGCGCTGCTGCAGCGCTCTCCAAAAAGCAACCACCAACTGAGGAGTAAGGACGAACTGTGCTCCTGTGGTCTTAAATGAGTTTGAACCATACACGAGGTCACTATTACAAAAAATATACCTGTTAAAATGCATTTGCACTGATTGTGCATTGTTATATGTTGCAAATCAATAACATAATTACGTAATTATCCCCACTTTTTTTGTTTTTTATCTCAGTGGTAAAAGTACAAATTGTGAACGCCTGTTTGTAATACATTTTGTTGTCAACAGGGGGAGCTGTTGAACCACAGGAGGAAAATGACTATGAGGTAATTTTCTTCATACCTGGTAGAAGTATTCTTTCTTTGTGTGAGCTAATGAGAATCGTTATGTTCAATAAATACTTCTCAGTATTACTAATTTTAAACAACTGGATTTTTATTTTTTTACAGTAAGAGTACTGAAACCATAATGCCTACTGTACAATCTATAACTGAAACCCAAGATCATGTGCCCATTCAACGAGATGACTTTATTGCTTCGAAATAATTATCTTGGTAGCAAACATAAGATAATGGTTTGGTTTGTGTTCTGCACCTTCCAAGTATAAAAAATAGTCCAAGTATATGACACATTCCACGTGAAGAAATTTTTTTTTTTTCCAGAGGCACGAGGTTCTTTGAGTGTGTTTAATGCACTGCAGTAATATTTATCTTTATTTTAATGATTTGATGTGCGTTGTGTATCAAGCTTTAGTCTATAAAAACAGACAAGTGAGGTAGGTCTACACCACTGAATCAAGAGGGTGGTTTTAACGTTTCTTGTTTTGGGGCAACATCAACACACTGTCAGCACACTGTAGTACCACGCTGCCAAAACTAATTGCATGATTATCTTAACAGTACTGTAGCTTCTTGTTCTTGTTCTTGTTTTCATTACCTGGTAATTCCTTTATCTACTCTTTTCATGCTGTTTTGTGTTGATGTTGTGGTATATTTTTGTTGCTCTGGACACGGCTGGAGACTGGAGCAGTAAGAGGCCAGTTGCAGTTTGAACGTATCTTCAATAGCCTACAAGAACATGGTCAGTGAGAAGAAAAGTCTTATTATCTATTGACTTATTTATTTGTAAAGACCTCCATAACCTTTGTGTTAAGCCAAATATTTGAGACTATCTGTTCAGTTCATACTTTATTATGAGTAAAATACATGATTCAATACATCTGGCAGTTCAGACTTTCAGAAGACTTGTTGAGGCATAGAAATGTGTATCTTGGATCATTTTATTCATCTGACAAAGCGTCAACAGCCACATATCAGTCTCCTGCTGGTCTAAGAGTCTGTTTAAGTAACATGCATTAGCTTGTAAAAACAGTGGTTACACCAAATGTCGCGGCAAACATACCTGCGGGGGATGGAAAATCAAAGCAGTGGTGGCATTCTCTGTGTCATAAAGAGCAGCCTATTCACATTTCTCCTCCTCCCTCGTGCCACACACTCTCCTGAAGTAAACGGTCCAGTGTGGCTCCTCAAACAGGCCCTGCCATGCCTTTTGTCCTTTTGATCTGCAACCAACTCAACTCTGTTACAAAAGGCAGCAAGTTGGATCTATGCTGTAATCTTTGATTTAGAAAAAAAAAAAAACAAAGAAAGAAAGAAAAAAAAAACATGGGTAATAGATATGAGATAAATAAAAATCAATTATATACAGTGAAGTCCACACTTTAAATAGTATATTGTGTATATTTAGATAATATATATGTTTAGATTTATAATGACAAAAATGGGATGTTTGTGCATTCTTGACTGGCAGCTTTGCTTTGATAAATACAGTAGATGGTAAAACACTGTCACCTATTCTTCTTAGTCTTCCACACTGATGTCATTTGTCAATATGTAACTGTCAAAAATTAATTGTTTGTTTTCCCATCTCATATTTGTACAAGAAGAGAAGAAATTCAAACCATCAGGTACAAAACATCTATGCATTCTTGGTCTGTGTAAATTTGAATCAAAATTACAATTTCCTTTATTTAACATGAAACACAAAGTGAAGTGTTTCCCTTTGTTTTATGTTTCCTGCTCATTTAAAACTAATTATCTCACTGTCTCTTGCATGTTTCCAGTAATCACATACCAGCCTTAATTAATGCTTTCTCTTTGTGTTTTTACAGGTGAATCATGGTATGCTGTTTCTGCAAGGTGTTTAGCCTACAGCTACTAATGTTCAGGCATTCAGGTGAGGTTTCTAAATGTCAGGTAACCATCAAACATAAAATCTGCACTGTGTGGTTTATGGAAAATGTATAGTAATATACAAAAAGTTACCAAGCAACCCAAGACTTTTTGTTTTGCCCTTGGGTTTACATCTTCTTAAATAGTTTAAGAAGTAGTGACAACTGCTCTGGAAAAATGGAAAAGGTTGTTTTATGGAATCATTCAAAGCCTAATTCTATTCAAAGGCAGCTCTTTGACATGATGTTTCTGATGTGTCTGGATGTCTGTCCCCCTCCCTGTTCCAAAAAGGGAGTGAGTCTCAAAGAGGGCTGGCCTGGCTTCATTTACTGCACCCCAGAATGGCTCACGTCTGAGGCAGTCTCTGGAGATAGAGGCAAAAGTTTGGGCAACACACTTCTGCATTTGGTGTCACTACATGATACCTGGCTGACCTCTATCTTAACATAATCAGGACCTTCACCTCAAGGATACATAGGATACCTAAACTATACCTAAGTTTTCTCTCAATGAAGAACACCTGTGCACTTTTCTACATATTTTTGAATACACTGACGACTCAGCACTATTGTAAGTTATGCCTGCTTCATTTCTAAGCCCCTGATACCAGAGCCTGTTTGAGCTTGTTGCAGGTTTGTGGAGAGTTCAGTGGACCTGCATGTTTATGAGTGTATTTCTGTATTTTTTTTCTCTCTCTGTCTCCACTCTGAAGAATCATGGTCCCCTCTCTGCACTGGCTCCTACTCCTCTGGGGACTTCAGGGTCTTATGGCGCAAGTTTTTGACGAAGACTATGAAGAAGAAGAGGTGTCAACAAGAAAGAAGAGCAACAAAGTCTATACATCTAATTCAGCGGGCAAGAATGGTAAAAGTAAGTTGTCTTTGTTACTCTCTGAAGAGGGATGGAGTTGAGGCTTACTACAGGTGTCAGGTGGGTAGTTATTTATCAGTGCTGCCACAGGTGGAGTAAACTAGAACATGATCCTCAACAAGGACATCGCTGGAAGATGCAGAGAGGATGGATCATATCTTCCAGCCATCCATCTGCTGTGTGACTCTTGTATGCTCGGTTATCCAAATGTTTTATTTGCTCAGAATTCACTTTCCCCAGGCGCATTCTCTCACTGACATATTTTGCTGGAGATGAACGTGATTTATCTTCAGCCCATATTAAATCAGTGACCTCCTTCTGTTGTTGAAGGGTGCCTCTGTGAGTTCCGTTACTTTTATTTCTCTTTAAAATTATATGTGGCATCCATGAACTTATTACACTTTTCTTGCGAAGGCACTGGCCGATAACTGTTCAATAAATCACCTATAGGCACCCTGAATGCACCACAGATAAAAGTGTCACTGTGCCTCTCGCAATTCACTTAGCTGTGATGAGTTAGCTCTTTATATTTGACCGGATATGAAAGTAATGAACTGTAAATCTTGGCTACAGGAAATACTGGGCAAGTGTGACAGTATGTGGATGAATACAGATAATGTCTAGTCTCTAAAAATGTCTAGTTGCTTGGTTACACATAGGGGTCTATAAATCCTTTTTTTTCCCTTCTTCTTCTTAGCAGTTGCTGATGAAGATTGCAGTTTGGAGATAGCCTTCCTGATCGACAGCTCTGAGAGTGCCAAAGACAACCATGCCCAGGAAAAGCGCTTTGCCTCGGATGTGATGGACCGTCTGCAGGCTGCGCGTCTACAGACAGGTCGAGGCCTCATTTCCCGCGCTGCTCTGCTCCAGTACAGTAGTCACGTGATCATAGAGCAGACCTTCAAACAATGGAAAGGCCCAGATGATTTCAAAGCGCGAATCTCTCCCATCGTCTACATCGGACATGGCACTTACACCACATACGCTATCACCAACCTCACCCGAATTTACCTAGAGGAGTCTGAGCCCAATAGCATTAAAGTGGCCATCCTGCTCTTTGATGGCATCTCCCATCCCAGAAATCCGGACATATTCTCGGCTGTAGCAGATGCTAAGAATCAAGGCGTGCGTTTCTTTGCCATCGGCATCACTCCAGAGGCCAATGAACCCACAAACATTGCACAGTTGAGGCTTATAGCAAGTTCTCCCGCCTCCCGCTACCTCCACAACCTACAGGACAGAGCCATTGTGGATAAAGTCATAAAGGAGATCGTAAGTAACTTCATGCTATCAGTTAGATAATTCAATAATTTGATAAGCAGTATAATTCTCTTTTGGCTACAAAAAGAACAAAAATAGGCAACTGCCACTAGTTGAATCTGTTTGGGGATGAAATAAAGAAAGCATTGAATATGATATAGATTTGATAGTTAAAGGTCCTATATTACGCAAAACTGACTTTTAGCCATTTTATAATTCTTACCTCGTCAAAAACATACCTGTAATTGTGTTTTGTTTCTTTCAAACATATTTAAGTAACCTTTTATTATTAAAAGCTCTGTTCCATCTTGTGATGTCATTTAGTGGTACTTTTCAAGACAGCTACCTTTTACCTTTTGTTTAGTAGAGATTGGCAATTCCAGTGCTGAAATCATCCAAATGATTATAGTGAAGGTGTGCGGAGGTTAAAAACACAGTGGAGCACTTTCTGTATTACTACATGACATCACAAGGTGGAACAGTGTTTTCTGTTTGAGAAAACATGCAGTATAAATATGCAGGGTTTGTGTGTTAAACATGTGTGAATGAAACAAAACACAACTTCAGGTATGTTTGTGATGAGTAAACAATGTATTACATAAATGAGAAAATATTTTAATATGGGCCCTTTAAACAGTTTTTTCCTAGTTCTACATTTTCATTTGAAATTTTGCAGAAGTTCATATGTGTCCAAACTTGTTCAGACCTGCAAAGACATTTTCAAACACCTCATCATTTCTGTAGCTTGGAGGTCTGATTGCAGTTATGATTCTATAGCCTATCCTGTAACAAGGCCATTGTTGCAACCGATGAAGGCGTATTAATTTCTTTTTCTCAAGGTAAATGAAACCAAATTATTTTTTGACTTTTGCAGGCCACCTAATCAGCACTTTCACTGTGTGGCTTTCTACACCACCCTCTGCTATCATATTACATCTCTGAATTACACCTGCTGCCTGCTACCATAGTAACAGATCATACAAGCCATTGCCAGAAAATGAATTCCCAGCAATTTCCTGACACATTCTCCTCAATATGAAAAAAATCCAACCTTGTGTTTAATTATTTATTCTGTTTTGGCCTTTCTTTTATAAAGCACTGATGCATTTCCAGTGAGTTAATTAGAACATGTGCAGTACAGGAACTTCCTGGAGTCACAACCAGGCTATTGACCGAAACATGTGCTCTACATTAAATCGCTTTGTGGGAAAAAGTAGGAGCAGGAACCAAGTTAGGACATATATGCACGCCACATCATTCAGACAAAGCCACTTCAAAACCCATCTTTGCTGTTGATTCAGGTGGTGCAAGTCAAAATACTGTAAAGGAAATGTTCTAAATGGTGTATTGTGACTTTGAGAGAATTTTAACTGACAGGGGCTGGCATGGAGGAGCCCAGTAGCAGTTAGAGTAGGATTGCACAGTATACCATAATTAAACCACAGTTTAAGTTTGCGCAATTATCTAATCGTTAAAACTGTAATTACTTAGATTAGATTAAATTGCTGTCCTTCGCAAAGAACAACAAGTCCTTTTTATAGAAAAATCTTGTAGTGGCTGTAGATTAGACCTCTAGAAATATGTTCTAAACTTCATGAAACAGAGTTCAGTTTATATTCAGTCTTCTCTCACATGTTTATGTTCCTGGAGTTGTTTACAATATGCACTCCAAAACTGAATCTACTTTTCAAACATATATCACAAACATTATCGATTATCTATCTACGATTAGATATATTATTGCATATCTAATCACATTTCTAATCACAAAATCGCACTTTGATTTTTTTTGTTTCAAAATTGTGCAGCCCTAGTCAAGAGTCTAGAGGCCTTGCCATTAGCAGGATTGTTGAAATAGTTGAAGATTTTGCCTATGAAAGCATGAAAAAGAAAACAGTCCAAAAGATTTGGTAGGAAGAAGAACAGAGCACTGTGATCTTCCAAACAATGGTGTAAGGGGATGTGTCTGCACTTTTGTACTGAATTTTACAGCTACTTCAGCCATGACATTTACAAGCACTATTGCAAATTTTTGATGGATTGCAAAAATATGATTTGGATTATATTCATCTGATAATCCAAGTTCTGTTTTCCTCCCTACTTGAGTCCTGCTTTGATCTGGATGTGGAGACGGCATCTGAATGTCATAAGCATGTTCCAGCTCTGTCCCAGCTCAGAGGCTGTCTTTTATTCTCTGCGTGCCTTCTTTTCAAACACATTCCCTGAAAACACATCTCTCACTGCTGCTACCTAGAGATGCTGCTGCTATTCCTGAACAATGCATGTGGCTCGCGTTGAGTCTCCGGTCTGACCCCTCGTATAGAAACCGTGGTCAACTTTCATGTGTTGAGAAACCCGAGGCGTAAAATGCAGCGCTATGAAAAGATGTGAGCCTCGGTAAAAGGAGTGAGTCAAACCTCACACGCACAAACAGGTGGACAGGGTGGAAGGCCATTTGACAAAACCATCCCTGCGAATGGAGAAACTGAGTTATATGGTGAAAGGAAGGTGTGTAGGATTTCAGTCAAATCCAATGAAACGATATTTAAGACAGAATAGATATTTGCCTTGGGAAAGCTTTGGGGGCTGTAGAAAAAGCTTGGCATATACAGTGTAAAGTATGTTTCCTTCTAAATCCTAGCCGCTGTTATGTGAAAAAAACATTTCCAAATGTGTTAAGTACCAGGGCGTGAATGTGTTTAAGTCTACAGTAAAGTTTTATATGTGAGCTTTTGATTCTTTTTATTTGTGCAACATTGTGAGCCAAATGAGGAAGTATAATTCTGGCAGCTGCATGCTGGGTCTATTAATGAACCCTATAGGTTTTCATTTGAGCTTTTACATTCAGCATATGGATTTAATGTAACAGCGTGGTTTCTTGTTTCTTTGTTTTTCAGACAACACTGGCAGATGAAGGGGTAAGCCTCAACAGTGGAGTCTTTCACATGATTGTTTGTGATCTCTGTGCCCCTTCTCACCACTGCTTCTCCATGTGCCCAGTGTCCACTAGCCCAGAGTAAGTGTGCATGTGACAAGGGCGAGAGGGGACCCAGCGGCCCCCCTGTAAGTATTTTCCACCCTATTCAGTCTAAGCATTTTAGAAAAGCACTGTTTTTGTTCTTAAGAACAATTACTCCCAAACAGACTCCAGTTGAAGTGCCGTTGACAGCTCCACAGCTGACAAAGGCATACTCATCTGTTACAAGCTACAAAATTGTAGGGTTTTAAGAGGGTTTAGTAAATGGTGTGGTCTTTTTGAAGAGCTGTAAAGCCCAGCAGCAGTGAGAGTGAGGAGAATGCCTCACATTCCAATACACTTTATTGAGAACATGCCTAAACAGACATTTACATGAGGAAATAAGTAGAATCTTGTTGGTTTGAAGGTTTCGCCTGCTTTGGGATTGGCTGAGGACACAAGAAGCAGATCACTCTTACACAACTCTATTCATGTTGTGATGCAGAGTCTGTCTTATTATTAACAAGGTCAGCTGCAATTAGACGCAGTGGTTGCTTTGATGTACATTCACAGAAAGAGAACAAAAGCTGGTTCATATCACAGACACCAGTAATCAATATGCGCATTTCTTTTGCTCAGTTAACATATCTGTAGAAGAGGATTTGATGATTGCCATTGTATGCAAATGACTGTTTTTCGATAAACAAGATATTGGTACATCATGTTTACACGCAGATCAAATATAGGACTTTGTTAACTGACTAAACGACATTCCATCCAATACAGATTTCACCTCTTCTCTGCTGACTCACCTTCTACACTTAGTGATATATAATTGGCTCATCTCAAACATGTGGGTTTTCCCTATGGCTTACACTGCTTGTTCACAAAACAGAGTTTAAATGACAGATCAAAACATCAGTAAGAACCCCTCAGACAAATTTAACAAGTCATATCCTTAAAACAACATAATAACATTATTACAGAATTCCTGATAATATGAAACCAACAAATGATGACCAACAAATTTGATTGATTAAATTTTTCATTTAAAGCTTATTTAATACCCATAATCATATTATAGCCTTTTTTCATGTCTTTAACCGCTTTTTTTGTTAAAGTTAGCTAGAGACAGACATTTTAAAGTTCGTCCAGGCATGAAACAAAGCGAACGTTGCTGAATAGTTCCGATAGGGTCTGCAAGTGCAAGTGACATTGAAATGCCATGTCCAAGATCAATGTACCTATAATCAAAAGATGCTATACATACTAGATTTAACATATAATTTCATATGTATTTGATATATCTGCTTTATGTTAGACGTAGAAATGTTGATCCTAATTAGCATAGTCAACCTAACCTCATTTTCGCTACATTGTTTGTAATATAATCAAAATGTGAGTCTATCTCTCTCTGGATGTAGCGAAGAGAGTAGGTGTAATCTTCACAGGCGGTTCCTCCATGGGCTCACTCACTTGTATCTGTCTTTGAACTGAGAGTGTTGGAGTCAAGTCTCACATCAGAAAGCTTAGTCAAATGAGAAGTGAAGTGCTTAGGTTGTATATAGAGTTGTGTAGACACTTTTATCCAAGTTGCTGTCCTTGGATGAAAGCTGCCCTGTCCTAACTTAGTTCACCTAGTGGTTCGTGTTGCTCATTATATGCCCGACAATTAGCCATGTATTAGAATTAACGACTTTCGTGAGTTAGGTATGATACTGTGTGTTATGAATGACGAAACTGTATTTCTTGGTCTGTCTCTTAGTATGTCTTATGTTCATTAGTCTATACGTCCTTAAACGTTTGTTTGTTGTACAATTAAAGCATGTGAAAACCAGGTCTCATTAGCGTTTAGACCACCGCGAAGATACCGGTACGTATCCGCAAACCTACCAACGCCCCCCTACCTCCCCCCACTATTATTTGTGCACTATAACTAATTCTTCATTATACGCTTCACGTCCGAGTCGTATCATATTATTGTGTGATGAAGAACATTTTGTAACACATAAATAATTCTCTGAGTGTTACTAGACAAAATTAATTGATATGAGCACATATCTAAAAACAGAAATAACCAATACTAGCTAGAATGTGAGCGCAGATGAAGGATGACAGACCTATAAATCGATGTGTATTGTGTGTCTAAGTTCTAAATCATGATTCTCTTATTAGCTGTATAACTCCACTTTGCTTTTTTCTCGAAAATGAAATAAACAGCATTCTATTACTCTGAGTTCTTTAACATATGAAATTGTAAAAGTAAAATATGTGCATATAGTCACTATTTAGCGTTGCACATTTTTTTCGTTGCACGCTGGGGGTGACTAGCAGGCTCGAGCAGGCGAAATTAGGTGATACCCGTAACAATACGATTAAAGGCAATAAGACCCAACCGCACACACATGGAAGAGTAAATACGTGAATATGGCGTGAAGGTATATGTTGAAAAGCCCTAAAATTATCGTCAGCCAGTTTTATATCACACACAATTGTGGATAGATACAGATTAGCGAATGTAGACTGCTAAAATTAATGCCATGAGGATTGCAAACTCCTATTAGACGATATGCCATGTGTGCTGTTACGTAAATGATGTAAATATCTCAGGTATGTCCGTCTTTGGCTTTACTTTAGGGTCCTGAGGGACTTTGCGTGTCAGATGTCGCTTGAATCAGAAGCCCTTAACGGTTAAATTCGCATGTGTTTAATTAAATAACTCGAGCAGTACCCCAGTCACGAGCGCTTATTACACACATGGATCATAGTAATATTGGAAGCATTCTCCCGTGACGGATCTCAACTCTCTCTCCGTGTAAATATTCTTTACTCCTACTATCATCCATTCCCATATTTCTGTGCTCCGATAAGCTATCGCGCGCAAAATCAATGTAGCTCACTCGGGGGCTCCAGCACTCGGTAGTATGGCTTGGCCCTGAACTGTATTATCGAGAGTTCGTATCAAATGACTGACAGCAATACTAGAAGATGTATTAAGCTTGGACTGAATTAGTGTTGTGACTCGATAATTCTTCAAAGAAATCATCCTGAGGTTGTGTTTGTGCGTTTCACAGTATTTGTTAGTTATTTTTCTTCTCTTTGTTGTGTGTAGCCAGTGGAAGAAGAGCGTTCAGCACAGATAGTCACGAGTTAAATCGCCCCTGGTCAGAAATAAACACAAAGAATACCTCGCAGAAAACACCACGGAACAAATGAACTATTGAAACATCTTTGGCTCTCTACCTGCTTTCATCTTTTTTAAATGAGCGTGTAATGTCTGTCCATACAAAACCATGTACGCTCCAAGAGTTTCTTCGTGCTACCATGTCTCTTCACTCACCTATAAGATACTTACTATTGTAAGATAGCTACTGTTGTACAAAGGGCTGAAGCGCTAGCACCTACTAAGCACCAAAAAGCGTTGCTAAGTAGTACACTCTACTGCTGTCTCAGTATTACTTTAAGAGAAACATTTCGATAACTATTTTGTTAAAACCAGTTTTGTGTTTTTCCAGTTCAATTGGAGTATACAACAGCAGCTTGCATGGTCTGGTGTGCTTAAGTGAAAGTTAGAAGCAGCTCTTCGTCAATATCATCTAGGAGTCAAGCTGGATCCCATGTATATTCATGAGCCTGGATCAGCGCTCTCTTAACGTGACTAAATCGTCCATTGATTAGATTTGTCGAGTTTATCATCGTTGCTTGCACTGCAGAGCAGAACGAGGGCGAGCTGATCGCGATCGTGTTTTACTTTCATGAATGCCCATAATGTTAACGATGTTTATGGTGTGTTCAAGTCAAAATTGAAGTGAATGTGTGCTAAACAGACAAGAAGGCTAGAGCCCTATCAACTACCTTATTCACTGCCAATGCAACAGAAACATGAAAGTACAGCAGCCCTTAACAGAGTACAATCCAAGCCTATGTTCCATTTCAAAGAGATACGTGCATCCCCTTCATCTGATGTGTAGTATTGGCAAGATCCACACAACATAGCCACTCACAACAAACGAGCAGCAAGAACTAAATTTAATTGGCAATAACGATCTGCACTATGTATGTAAGTCACTAGAGTTACTATCTTTACTATGCGAGCGTGGAACGCTGTGGTACTGCATAATACCCTTATAGATAACTATGTCTGATTCTGTTATTATACTATATCTTCCCTCTGTATACTCATCACAACTTGGAACTTCTATGCTCTAGTTCGCACGACTTGTTCTTATGTATTCCTCATACAGGCACCCCTCATACAACTTGCCTTTTCTTAGCGGATTCACAATACCTGAGGCCGCTCTGGAGCACACATCTACGCCTCCTGCTACCAGAATACAACAGCACGTCATAAGCATCTCCGTAATCTATCTTTTGTGGCTCACAGAGCAATGCGTTCCATCGACAGTCTATCATGCCAAAGTGAAGCGCAGCTGTCATGCCTCCATTTCAAATCCCTTATTTCACTTGGTTAGATTCCAACACTGTCGCTTGTGCCAACTGCTGCAGGGCATTTGTTCCGAGGACAGGATGAGGACGATGTCAGGAACAATCCCTTCCAAACTTTTCATAACACACTATTGGGTCCTGACTCTAACGACAGCGCTGTCACACCAGAAGCGGCAGAGATTGAAAAAAGAGTATACAAGCGATAATCACTACCATCGACGTTACGTACATTAACATCAAGCAAACTATCCCTTCCAATATAAACGACCGTTGCAGAGTGCTGCACTCTTCCGTTTGATTAACTGCTACAAAGCTGGGATGTGTTGAGCATATTATACGAGGCTAAATAATGTGAGGTGTATCACTGCGTATGTCACCACTCTTAAGTAACATTCGAACTCTCTCCCAGCACCACCCACTCATACACATCCACCTGTTCCGTCTCATCTCTATGTCTAATGCTCTCGGGAATGTGATGTCAAAAAGCCATAACCTCTTTAAAAGAACAAATACAACATTCATACCTTAAAGATTTTGATTGACTAGCTTTACACTAGCATCTCTGTAAACATAGCGGCTAAATTTTCAATTAACTTTAGAATTTTCCTATCTTAGATATAAATCGCTTATACATATGTACATATTTTTGGTGATCAGGTTG